GAAGAAAGATGGACCAAATTTTAAGAAGTATGATAATTTTTGTAGTATATATGTGGATGATTTATTTGTTCATAGTAAAAATAAAAATGAAGATATAAAAAATTTAGAAATTATTTTGAAAGAATTTATTGACAATGATATAGTTATAAGTAGGAATAAAGTAGAGCTTGAAAAACAAGACAGAATTTTTAGATATGTATACTAAGTCAAGAACTATACAATTACAAGAGCATATAGCTAAAAAAGTGTTAGAATTTCCAAATAAATTAGAAGATAAAAAATAATTACAAGCATTTTTAGAATTATTAAATTGTGCTAGAAGTTTTATCCCTGATTTAGGAAGAAAGATTGCAGCATTGCATAGTAAAACTAGTAAAATAGGTCAAAAATATTTTAATTGTGAAGATATTAAATTAGTTCAAAATATCAAACAATACATAACTCAGCTTAAGCCTCTAGCATTTCCATTAGATAATAATTACAAAATAGTTGAAACAGACGCATCATCAATAGGATGGGTATGAATTTTATATCTGTAGAAACACAAAGAAGAACCTAAATTTGAAGAAAAAGTTTGTAGATATGCATTAGGTAAATTTAGTGATATACAGGCTAGACTACCAGCCACTGACTTAGAAATTTTAGGAGTTATTAACTCCCTTGAAGCATTTTCATTATTTTTACATAATGAGATATTTGCTATTACAACAGATTGTCAAAATATTGTTTCTCATTATCATAAAAATACTAGTAATAAACAAGCAGCCCGAAGATGGTTAATTTTGTTGATTCTATTACAGGAAATGGATTTAGATCAATATTTGAGCATATTAAAGGTATGGATAATATTTTAGCAGACATCATATACGGATATAATACTTTAGTAGACATCGTATCCCGTATTATTTATTAACAAATATGCAATATTTTGGAGTATCATCCTCTGGCAACAAAAATAATGGTACATTATCACAGGATGGTATTCCATTAAGCATGGGTATACGTAGTCAAGCAAGACCAATAGTAAATACGTATTATTATAATGGAATACCAGTACAAGAAGTTAGAAATCCTGATATCGTGAGAAGAGGCCATGAAAAACTTATTAGAACTAACTTTTGGAACATTATAATATCAGAACTAATAATATCAGGACTAATAAGTTAGAAATCCTGATATCGTACATAAGCAGATAAACAAAAAGTTCTTTTAGACAACTTTTGGAACATTAGAACTAGTAATGAAAGCATGAGAAGATGGCATGAAAAACTTATTAAAGCCCTTGAGTAAGAGTTTTTAACATATAATTATGATTATAAATGAGCAAAACAATAGCTTTCTTTTTTGCAGGAAAAACTTGAAGAGCAAAAGAAAGAGTATGATACAATAGTAAGAAATTTTAGAATTATTAATTTAAGATGTCAAAATTTAAGCATGATTTTACAAGAAAAAGAGGCTAATGAGCCCAACTTACTTGGGCTTCATAGAGAATTTTCCCTTGAGCAAAAAACTAAAAATTCATATTTCCTTTAAACCCTAACTAGAGAAAGATATAGATTTTTACCTCAAGATATTAAGAGTCATATGATTAGATTCGAATATGAGCAAAATACATCTCTTCAGTTATACATTCAAGCTTTTCTTTTTAATTTAAAAAATAATCTACAACCTGGAATAACAATTATTACTAAAAGCTGTTCTCATTATACTATTTATTTAGCTAGTATTAACATGGTGGAATATAAAGAATTGCATTTAGAGCATAACCAAAAAACTATCACAATTACTCCAGCATTTTTAGCAGAGTATGGTTATTTAGGTCAACTTTATATTGAAAATAGTCATAATTTATATTCATTTTTCTCAAAATTAAAAAAAGTTATAAGTTTTTATATCCCTCTTTGGACGAACGCAAAATTAATTTTCACCAGTATACCTCCAGAGTAGATTATAGATAGTATTTACCTATATAAAGCACAACATAGTATTATTATTTCTCATAAAGAACTGCTTAGTCCGGCAGAATCCGTAAATAAGATCTCTACCAAGCAAGATATTCAAAAATACAGAGGAGCAATAATAGCTGAGCAACAATTGTTCAATGATGATCATCTGAACCTTCTTCACCAATCCAACTTTATCAAGATTTATTTAGAGACTACATCTAAGAGACCATATGACACATATGAATTCAGGATAAGCAAAACATGAACAAAAGTTTTTGATGAAATCTATCACCAGATAGCAGAACAAATTGAAGCAGAAGACAATGACAACTCATACTGGAATAGCTTAGGAGAAGAAAAGCTACACAATATAGACAACATGTTGGAAGCATAAACTTCATGTGAAGCCCTCATGATAGAAGAAGCATCATCAACTTCATTTCATGTGAAGAGATCATCCCAGCAACATAATAGCAGACGCAACATCAGTCCAAAGTTTATCAAAGCAAGAAAATC